CCGCCCCTCCCCCTTCCTGCCCTTCCCTTTCTGGTTGGCCTGGCGTCACATAGCGGCGTTTTGCCGCCGCCCGCCTCGTGACCTAATGGCCCCTTGTTCCCGGAACCGATGACAAGACGGCGGCGGCGGCGACAACGACGACACAACCCTTTCTCCCACACGCCCCTTCACAACCCCCTCCCCCGTGCTGCTGCTACGCTATGGACCGTGTTACTTGTGCCGCCCTCCCGCGACATGTGTGCCCTGCGCACTTTCAATTCAAATGCTGCCCGTCTTTCGTTTCCAGTTTTCGTTTCCACTCTTTTTTCGCCTTAACGCGTACGCCATGATTACGAGCCTCCGCGACCCCCAGTTCGACTCCATTTGCCTCAACGTAGTATCTAAGTCATATCTTTGCAATAATTCTGACATTCTTGATGGGTATACTGGTTCTATTTTTTCTAGTATACCAAGATGTCTTTTAACCTAGGTAATTCAGGCACGATATTTCATAAAAACACCTGGTGAAATGTACCTCCACTGTAAACGTATTGAAACTTCTTATATATCTGGAAGGTTTCTATTTTTGTCGCTGTTTATCCCCTCAAATACGTTTAGAATCTAAAAGAGGGTAAACTGAATATCTGACTAAAAATGAAGCGATTGCAACATAAATGATTATTTTCTTTCCTCATGAGTAAAATTCCTTTAAGGAATTGAGATGCATGGATTTTCCAAGAACATAAAATTTGCAATGGCCAGGTTACGCACTCAACCCCTGTCTTATTTCACCGCAAAAATTAATCCTTGATCATTTCTTTCGTAATGAGATCCCACATTTGCTTTGCAAACGAAACCTTAAAGTAATGGTTATTGTTTCACCCCGTAGCGACAGATATTGAAACTATTCTACCTTCAACGCTGGTAGTCTGTTATGTAAATAATTTTAATGAATATGCGATGGCTTTCTTTTGTCTTTCCAGAAACGTATTAAAAAATAAATTAATTTTAAATATGTAATATATTTTGTTTTTAACTGTTTATCACTGAATATTTTTGATGATATGATATAAATTAAATTAAATTAAATTTCCGTTTGCATCTGCCTAATTTCTGATGTTTGGAAGAAATTCACTGCGCTGTGTATTTTTTCCTTGGAGATACGAATTGGTACCGTAAATGAAAAAATATGCATGCAAAAATATGTACGTTTACCATGAAATTCCGGATATTTACGTAAGCTAACTATACAGACTTACGTAAAAGCTATCTGATAATGCATTTGTTGTTAACCAAAAGCGCACTAAGTTTTTCTTCATGTATTGCATGTTTTATTTGTGCGAGTGTGTGTGATACCTTAAAAACTATTAATTTGTATAATTTAGATTAAACCTACAATATGTGTTTGCAAATGGCTTATAATGGTGTCTGCTTGTATCAAAATAATTCGAAGAATGAATGAAATTAATAAAAGAAAAAATGCAGTACTTGTCAGTCTTTCACGACTTTTTCCAAAACTCTAAATTACAAGCACTTATCATCAATATTAAGATTCATATTGGGTATAGGGTTCATAGGGTTACGTATTGAAAATATCGAACAGATTGTGTAAATATCCTTAAAGACTAAATAGTATCCCGATCATTCCCTGTTCACAGTGATCTTCTTCCGTTATATAGGAACGTTTGAGTACACTCGGATTGGAAGGCCAAACCCATAAAGCTATTTGATCCACGTTTACAAACGGCAAAATAGGAATAAGGAAAAAATTATATCATAAGGTTGTAAATCTATGCATATTTCATTTAAGAATGTGTACGTCCGGTGGACACATCAGAAGAGGTGGAAACAACCTAAAGCTTCATAAATATTAGAAATTTTAATTAATCATTGCTCTAATCAATCTCTAGCTCCACCCCATTTCTTATTTCTACTCAAATCCCGTCCTCTAAGAAAGTCAATTAAAGAGTTTTGCAAAATATTCCTTGGGCAGTTTCGCCCTTCGCAAGACAAACGATCTTCAGGCTCGTTTCAGCAAATCCGAGTCGTCCCGCGCCCTGACGCTGCCTGCGATCAGCGCGGGGGCGGACGGGCAGTGCGTGGGTGGACGGGCGGCGCGAAGGAGGACAGGCGGCGCGTGAGCAGACGGGTGACGCGTGGGCGGACGGATGGCACGTAGCGGAATGACGGCGCGTGGGTGGACGGGCGAACGGGCAGTCTGTGGGCGGACGGAAGCCGCGTGGACGGAAGATGGGCGCGAGGGAGGATGGGCAGTGAATAAGCGGACGGGTGGCGCATGGGCAGACAGGCGTCACAAGGGGCAGAGAACGGCGTGTAGACGGAACGTCGACAAGTGGGCGGACGGGCAGTGCGTGGGCGGCCAGCTGGCGCGGAAGGGCGGCACGTGGGTGGAAGTGCGGGAAGGGGACGGGAGGCGTGTGGGCGGACTGGTGGCACGTGGGCGTACGGGCAGCGCGTGATGCACGGGGCGGATGTGAGCGGAAGGGTGGCGCGTGGGAGATAGTGCGGGAAGGGGACGGGAGGCGTATGGGCGGACATGTGGCACGTGAGCGGACGGGCGGTGCGTAGTGGACGGGGCGGATGTGGGCGGAAGGGCAGCGCGTGGGAGCACGGACGGCGTTTACCCTGAAGGGCGACGCGTTGGACGGGCAGCGCTCGGACGACCGGGCGGCGTGTGAGTGGGCGGACGGGCGCGCTGTTTGCGCCGCGCCATGTGCTGCGGCGCGCGGCGGCCGGTTCAGGCTGTCATGGGCGCGTGATGGACGAGCGCGGGGCAGCGCAGGCCGCCGGAGTAAATAAACCGCAACGAGGCCGCTCCGTGGCTTCCTGCCCGCCCCGCGCCGGTCCGTGTCGCTCGCGTGGATATTAAAATGGAATCGCTCTCTGACAAAGAGTTGCCCGTTGTTAGGCTGTAAAGAGATTAATGCTTTTCTCCCGATCGCTCGTTGTTCGTAGGTCACGGTTGAGAGTTCAGTGTGATCGTTTCGCTGGCCATTGTAATTGAGATAGTAGGAAATATGTACGCGAGGAATCATCGGGCTTGACAGACATGGAAAACGGTCCAATGATAATGAATGCAACGGAATATTCTTTGGTTATTACCATTTGTGACGTAACTTATCATGTATGCTGGATAATTTCATGTTCCAAATAACGAGTAATGAAAATAATGAGATATTTCATATGCTCCAGGAATATGCACAGAATAAAAAAGTTACGTAGAACAATAAACAATAATTTTTAAAGAAAATATTATAGCGGTTTCCAATGGCAACTATATTATTAATATTATTATTAACAGATGTTTTGTTACATCCAAAAGTTATTCTTTGCTTAATTTATGAAAACATGTTATCATGTGGATTACCACTTCCGCTTTCGGGAAAATTAATGTCTCCCCTTTCACACGTTTTTAATTTATTACATCGGTGATAAAATATTTTAACACAGTCTTTCTATTCACGGCTTCTAAGCTGATATATGTATTTGTGCGCTGACTGTTCAAACGTAATTGTTTGGACACAACCTTTGAAATTATTTGTATCTCGCAATCCGTTTATCCCTTGCCATTCAAAAGCAGTAAAACTTCACGTCATCCTACCAAACATGCACTAATGCTCTGTTCTCCGGAGGGGCCATTTTAATTAAAACATCTCGTATATGAGCGGGTGCAATTCATAATGCCAGGGAGACGACAGCGATCCCAACCAACGTCCGACCAGCGACACGGGGGAGGCGCGCTGGTCTGATAAACGCTCTCTGTGGGCATGCATGCCTTTTCATCCACGCTTCTATCTCGATCCGTGATTTAAGGATCAGATGGATGACCAACACATCTTGTTCTAAATATATCTCTGTTCCATTACAAAACTTCTAGAATCTCTTTATCGTCTCGCATTAACCGCAGTACTAAATATGTTGTGAAGATTCAATCAAAGCTAAGTATTTTGCATTTGCTACATATAATGAAATATTTATAGGCGTTGTAATTGCCAACAATATTTAAAATCCCATTTATTTAAAATCATATGTTCAAATGCCAACGACAACTTACCGCTAAACCAATGTTACATTCAGATTTGAGAACGACATTCATTGTAATGAAATTCTTCTTTTTTGTGAGAAGTAAGGAACAGATTTTTTAACAACACACAATTGCGTACTCGTGAGAATTTAATATTTCTAATGCACAGAAAAATCAGAAAAATAATCAGGTAACAAAAATATATTCCACGTAAAACATTAGTAACTTTCATAATAAAATTGAATCTTTGCTAGTCCATAGAGTTTTAAAACACAACTAAATTCTTTAAAAGATGGGTTGTCACAGATCTCATTAGTTTCAGTTCTGCGCTTATCAAAATATACCAATTACAGTCGTAATTTTCTAAATAAGTGTTATACATTCCCACATTTTCCTGTATTATCCTTTTTAATTCATTTTAATTCATTTAATTCATTTTATTCATTTTATTCATTTTATTCATTTTATTCATTTTATTCATTTTATTCATTTTATTCATGATATATAAAGAATACCCAAACACTAGAAAATATAATATTATTTCACTTTACATTGTAAGAAATACAGCAAATATTTTCACTATCTGCAATCACTTTCAATTTCTGAATAAAGTGATTTTAAAATTTAAACCGTTAGCTTTATGTGGATAACCTAAAATTGAAGAGAAGGGCCCGAATGGGGAATACTTTTTACACTTTCGTCTACGACTTCAGAAATAAACGCAAATGTAAATACTAGAGTAGATAATTGCTTAAACACGCCTGGTTAATATTATTCACTTAAATCTATTAGAAATTCAAGATATTTTGCGATTAAAAAAGGTCTACATATATTACACAGACGTACCCTGTTTCCTAAATAGTGACTGCTTTTTCCATTTAGCAAATTATAAATGCATTAACGTCTAGAAAAAGGTTTATTTAAGCTATAAATACCAATTTTGATTTAATGTTGCAGACAATTCCTGCACATGAACTTATTTTTTGGATTACCTGCACATGGGACATGTGCCCGGTTCTTCCACTTCTGACACAATATAGTGAGTCACAATTGAGTCTATTCAGTTAAGCTCTTATACCATACACCTCCACAATCCGGTATAGTATGTCAACACTAAAATTTAAAAAAATGTAACTTAGTGTATACAGCCAAAAGAACCCTGTAATTTTACATACAGCAGCAATGCGGATTATTCTACATTGGGAAAATTCTCATATTTCAAATTAGGGACATAAAGGCAATATTTATTTCATTATAGCTTATATTGACGCTCTGAAGAAAACACATTCTTCCACTTCACTCAAGATCTTTAGCTCAAAGAACATTATCTCCGCTCGATCTGAGATATCTTCCAAGTAATTCCCAAATTTTCTCTCCAGAAGTCAGCTCAATGCAAGTTTGATAATTCGGTATTTCACATTAAGAACGTATTACACTGGAGGACTTTATGTATATTTAAAAACACAAAAAGAAATTTATGAAAAGATGTTCTAACATGTCTTAATAAAAAAACATGGATTACATAGCAAATTATTCAAGAGCGTTTAATTATTTAAAAGCGAAACACCTACTACTATGCATCAATAGGGAAAATGTGTAGAGAAGGGTTCCACGGGTGGCGACGGAGGAGGGAGGTCGAGAAAACGGCGTAGGGGGGAGGTGCACGCAAACCCCAGCCAGGAGTCCAAACATTTGCGCAGCATGAACATTTCTGCCCTCAGCCCTTCCCGCAAGCACCACCTCACCTACCCACCCACCAACCCACCTACACGCACTCCCTCTTGACCTCTCTCTGCTCTCCTCAGTAAGCGAGCGCCGTTCGCCACTGCTGCAGCTTTCCGCGAGTCGGCGCTTTCGGAGGCCGAAATGCAGGTGCTGCTCTCCACTGAGATCCGCTCGTGCAGCTGGCCGTGTCCGATATTACTTCAGGGACTTGAATTCGAATAATGTTTTATTCATACGCGCTTCAATCACACAAATAATGTACAATTTTTACTTGTAAGTATTAGAAACGTACAGCTGACACAGTTGTACATGTATCTACATTTGATTGAAATTTTCTTGAACCATTTTTTGTAACATTGATGAAAATACATAACATTCCGTTTTTAAACATAGTTTTTTAAGTATTTTTATAGCAACATTTTATATTATTAAAATAGTTCAGGGTACAAATATTTTTTTTCATTTCCTTCTGAAAGTTGCAGTATAATTTTTCTGCTTAAAAATAAAAAAAGCAAAAAAACGAAAGAAATTTTTGAAGGGCTTATTCCCAGAAACGTTCTTTCAATTTAAAAGGGAAGTTGAAGGAAAAGAATGGAAAGTAAAGGTCGTACTACCTTAGATATTTTTCGGTCAAAATCTTTCAAAAATTGGCTTGTCAATTAGATGTAAGGGGATAAAAAATACTATTATAATTATCTTTGCATAATAATTGTGTGTTTCATCATTTGATTAACTGTTGCATATCAAAACCTTCCTAATAACCGACGAACCCCAGTGGAGGCAGTCAGTGGCAAATCCCAGAATAAATTGCAATAAAACTAAATTGAAATTGTATAAATAACTAATAATTAATGTATTTATCAAGAGAATATAACAATTTTTGCGTGTTTCATAAACCGAATACACATTTTTCAGATATTTGTATACTTCCGAGAAGTGTTCTAAAACTGAACTATCTCTAAGGATTCAGAAAGATTCTAATAATAAAATTCCTAAAATATCAGACAGTATGTTCGCACTTTAACAAAGAAAGAGGAAAAACTGCGCTTTGTCTGTGGTTTCCCAGACCCCATCCCAATGGTATGCG